AAGAATGTGTTGAAAACTATATGTTGGGGTTAGCAATCGTTTTCAACTTCTGCACCGTCACTTGTTTACGTACCTTTCCTCTTCTTTTTTTTTTTTTTTTAAGCGTTTCACCCCAAGCAAGGCGGGAAGCCACTAGGATGCAAGGGGTTACAGGAAATAGCAAGATCAGATAGGAGTGATAGATGAAAGGATGAGGGTAGTGGATAGATCAAGGCAACTGGAGATGTCGATTGACATTACACTTGAATAGCTGGAGATTATAGCTCACAGGGAAACAGGAGAAGGGAAGGGAGTTCCACAGGCAAGAGGTGCGAGACATGAAGCTATTAGAGTAGAAGAGACGACTACATTTAGGAGTTTCGACAGTGAGGGGGTGAGAGCGGGATGCCAGACCCTATCAAATGCTTTGGGGATGTCAAGTGCCACGGCTCGGGCTTCCCCATTATTTTGGAGAGCTCGGTAGACTGTTTCAGTGATGGCTGTGAGCACATCGGCTGTAGATCGGGCAAAGCGGAAACCATATTGCTTGTCAGAGAGCAGATTATGGGATGTGAGTTCGTTAACTACCCCGGTATTGATTAGAGCTTCGAAGACTTTGCCGAAGAGGGGAAGGAGACTGATAGGACGGTAGTTGGAAGGGTCAGAGGGGTCGCCGGTGTTCTTGAAGACAGGATAAATATTTTCATGCTATTTGATCTGATGGGCTTTCCTCTTTGGCATCTAGTCTTAACGGATTTAAGCGCAATACTAGATTGGCAGCTAGATCTCACCAATTTCCAGTTTAAATGGTAAGTTCTATGTAACCGTTTCTTCTCCAGCACTTTTGGCTCGTGGAAATCTCTTCCAACCTCTTGCTTTCCGGTCAACTTTAATTTTCAAAAAATTAATTGCAGTGTCAATCGTCATATTATGTCTTATTAATCCCTTTACTTTTATTGTCCCCTCTCCTTAGGAATGGTTTTCGTTTCTTATATTCTTTCACCCAACGTACTTCCTTTCGTCTTAGTAGCTTTATTGCCTTGCTTGGTGTGAAAGTATTAAAAAAAATGCCCGTTTGTCTTGACAAGACCATTATATACAGATATAGCTATAGATATATAACGTATATACATAATAATAAAAAAAATAATAGCTGGTCACTAGTACTCGAAGATACCCGCCTATTAGTGCGGCTACCCAATATCTATTGCAGACTCTCGCTCAGGCACATTTACTCATTTCTTCAACACCCACAGAGCCAACCTGTGATTTATATTGCAACTATGCTGAGCAGACCTTAGTTACTGTTTCTTGGAGAGAGTATGTTATCTAGAATGATCAACAATCTGAACATCACCAGCAAACTCAAGCCTTCAGTCATTTTGGCACGTGACTTCGTGCTAGCACAGCTATTCAAGGATTCCGTCTTCCCAATTTCACTCACAAGGCTTGGGTCGATCCCTTGAATGGTTTCCAGGTACTTTCCAATAGTGCCGCACACTCGGATCCTCCCTCTTCCAGATCGATAACATCAGGAAGTTCTGGTGAGATTCGAACCCGGGTCTAATGGTCAGAAAGCAAACGTTCTAACCCCTCAGCCATAGATTATAGATAATATAGTAATACATATATCTATTAGCCATCTACCACTTATCAGAAACTACTCGAGACCCTATTCAATGACGAGCTGGTTAAACATCTGAAGTCGAAGGGTCTTTTTTTCAGACAAACAAAACGGCTTTCGTTTCTCCATGTCAGCTGCTGATGTATTGATGATAATTGCCGAACGACTCTATCAAAGTCTAGTTAAGAACGGAGAAACTCGGGCAATAGCTTTTGGGTATCTTAAAAGCTTTCGACAGGATTTGACATACAGGACATCTTCACAAATTGAAAAGTTACGGTGTCTCCAAACATTTTTTAAAAAATAATCCATTCTTTCTACTCAGACCGTAAAATGAAAGTTATCCTGAACGTCCATTCTTCCAGATCGTTTCCTACTAATGCAGTTGTTCCCGTAAGGCTCTATTTTGGTGATACTTTGTTTTTAATTTCCATTAATAACCTCCAAGATAGTATCAACTCTCAACTTGGTATCTATGCTGATAACACAACCATTTATTCCAGTCTCAGTAGTAAGTCCGATTGGTTCAATAAGGTCAAATTGATGTAAAATAAAACGACTTTCTGTTGTTAACAGGGGAAAAGAATGACTTGTTAATTTTAAGGCCTCCAAAACTAAACTGCTCTCTATGTGAGAGACCGCTTTCTTTCTGGTTTCCTTCGGCATGCCGGATACTGGCCTCCAGGAGAGTGGCTCGTTGCGTTTTCTCTGGCTAACCTTATCGGTTGAAATGAAGTAGAAAGATATATATATATATATATATATATATATATATATATATATAAATCCATTGTTATGTCAACCGCTAAAAAAGTCGGTTCACTGTATAGTGCTAGAAAATTTTTTGTCGCCAGAACTTTATATGTCCATAAGTCTACCATTCGCCCATGCTTAGAATATTACTGTCACATATAGCCCGGTGCTTATGCTATTTACCTTGAGCTCCTACGGTGTCACCAGACATATTTTAAAATAATCCATTCTTCCTTGTCAGATCGTAAAATAAAAGTTATCCTGAACGTCTTCTCTTCCAGATCATTTCCGACTAAAGCACTCAATTTCGGTAACTTTCTCAACGCTGTCACGTGGTTTCCCTTTTTTCTTTTCTACAAATATTTCCATGGCAATTGTTCTGATCAGATGATGCCCTTGATGCCTTGAGTGCATGAATTTAAGCGTGCTAATAGATTGGGAAATAGATCTTCCCGTTGTACTGTTAAACTAGCTAGATGCAACCGTATGTTCTATTCTAGTTTCTTTTCTCACAGTTCTCGTTTCTAGTACTCACTTAATTAATTAATAAATAAATAATTATAATAATATTGTAATAAATAATTAATAACTTCCAATTCCTTACTTACCCGACACCTACAATCTTCAAAGTTTCAAATACAACGTCAATCGCTATCTTCTGCCTGTCCTTTTATTTTCCTATCTTAAGTCTTCTCATTCTCTTTCGCTCTCAGTAACGCCCTGCGTCTTAGTAGCATTATCACCTTGATTGAAGTGAATTGATAAAAAAGAATAATGAAAAGAGTGAAGAAAATTTAAATACACAGTAAAGTGAGAATCGTACGTGACCCATACAACGTTCCCGGTGTTGTTTATCAGATTTGAGGTTTTGTCGGACGCGAACAACACTTTCTGGATGGATCAGAATGACAGTCGTCACGACATGTAAACGAGCAGCAGAGGATAGCATCCGGTTGCTCGCGGCCAAGCGTTGAAAACCAACTGAGAAAGTCTTGATCCAGAAGGTGAAACCCACGGACTCTGGGGCCCCGTGCGTGATCCATACGCAGAGGGCATGGGATTGTTATTTCCGTATCTTACGCCCGATATCTTTCGAGTTCTTGCCTCGGGTGGCGACTTGACAGATAAAGGGGTTTAGAGAGAAATAGGAACAGAAAGAAGTTTTGAGAGAGAAGGTGAGATAGTTTCCGCGCGATCGTGTGTGCGTGTGTGTGTGTGTGTGTGTGTGTGTGTGTGTGTGTGTGTGTGTGTGTGTGTGTGTGTGTGTGTGTGTGTGAAGATGATTCATTCAAAAGAGATTGCAGTCATTGAACTTAGACTGACAGATGTGTACATACGTATCGCTCCTCTGCCGGAGTGCGATTGTTGGCCATTTTTCTTGGACCAATTCGAGAGTGTAATTAGTTCAATTCCCACAGCGTGCTGCACAACAAAATAGAATAAGTGAAGAGTACTCACGTGACCCTCACATATCTATCTATCTATTCATCTATCTATCTAGATACACACACACACATATATATATATATATATATATATATATATATATATATATATATATATATATATAATATAAAGAAAGAGATTATACCTGTTCCGACGAGAGAAAAGTGTTAAAATTAAGAGAGAAACCGCAAACGTTTTTGGTTGTAATGTAGATTTTTTCAAAAAGTATATTATGCTTTATTATTATTATTATTATTATTATTATCATCATCATTCGATTTCTGCTATAGACACACTACCTACCAAGTCTGCGGAAAGACCTAAGGCAGGTCGTGGTGTGTTGTTATAGCCACATTTCATGTTAATTTTTTTTTTTTTTTTATCTCCGATGAAGTTGCTAGCGTTACATAGACAAAGTTCTCCTTAGTGTGTGTGCTGTACTTAATAAGACAATTTTCTGTATGTCTCTTAAGCTGGGGTTTCCAGGGATTCTTTCAATGTGTTGTTTTGTTCCATTTTTTATAATTCCAAGTGCACCTATTACCACTGGTATTATTCTTGTTTTCAATTTCCACATTTTTCTATTTCAATTTCCAGGTCTTTGTATTTTTGATAGTTTTCAAATTCCTTGGTTGCTATGTTACAATCCGCTGGACAAGCCATATCAATTAGTAGGCAAGTTTTTTCTTTCTGGTTTTTTTTGACAATAATGTCCGGCCTATTTGCTTCAATTTTTCTGTCTGTGTGGATGGTATAATCCCATAGAATGGTGACATCTTCTATTTCTGTAACCGGCGCTGGCCGATGTTCATACCAGTGTTTGCTTACACATTTTCCAAAGTGTTTGCACATTGTCCAGTGTAAGTATTGCCCCACTCTATCGTGACGATTTTTATATTCATTTGGGGCAAGTATAGAACATCCTGAGATTAGATGGTCTATTGTTTCTTGGTATTATTATTATTATTATTATTATTATTATTATGCATTATTTTATTATTATTATTATGGAAAATAAAAGCATAACCTTTTTTTTTAATCCACATTACAACAAAAACGTTTGCGGTTTCTCTCTTATTTTAATATATATATATATATATATATATATATATATATATATATATATATATATATATATTGAAAAAGAGAGAAACCAAAGACAAAATGATATAAAATTGAATTATTCGCAATTCTTGCGCTATGATAAACAAATAAATATACGGCAGATCAAAGATAGATAGATAGATAGATAGATAGATAGATAGATAGATAGATAGATAGATAGATAATGTTCTCACAAAAGATTAATGTGCTAGTGTGAAGCATTTTACTATAATAAACGCTGATATATGTTTGCGTGTGTGTGTGTGTGTGTGTGTGTGTGTGTGTGTGTACCCCTGCGCCTACCTGTATGTCTGAAGATTGCGGAACAAATCCTGGTGTTAACCAATATGGATCGATGTATCTTTATATGCCTTTAAGATAGATAGGAACAGGCGAATGGATGTCAGTCAGATAGAAAATAAAGTGATAATCTTGTATTTCTTCCTTGCCTACAACATTATTTCTGTGTAAAATGAACGAAGAAGGAAATGGAAAAAAAAAAGAAATAAATAAACAGGAGAAAAAATGGCTTTGTAAAAGATTTTAACCTGCTGCGTTAATCAGCATGACCAAGCGTCGCTAGAGGGCGCTATTGTCAAAACTATAAAGATTAGCTACGCTTGGACAGACATTGAGGACCATCAAGGAAAAAAGAAAGAAAAAAAAGCAACAACGCTGGAAAGAATTCCATCTTGTAAGCCTCTGGCTAATATTGCCTTCTTCACACCCTTTGCGGTCAGTCGGATTCGAGTACAAGAGCACAAATAAAAGCAGAAACTTGGAGAAATATATTTACTACTTTGGTAAGTTGGCTTCTTTACTAGAGGAAAAAAGAGATCGGTTCTTTCTCCTGCCGGCGCATATGACCTGAGTTTCTTTTTTGCTACCTTTAATATTAATGCTCTCTGATGGCAAAGGACTGAGAAGAAGAACTGGGACAATGGAAGACTTTCTTCAGCCAAGTAAAATAACACAAACGAATGTGGCTAGAGGGCGCTCTCTTGGATTCCTTTTTGCGAAATTATTAACGAACTACAATAAGGTGCGGGTGACTTGAGCTGCGAAATATGGTAAGGCCCACACAAAAAAAACAAAAAAAAATAACAGTACCCCGCTTCGTCATAGCAAGAATTTAAATACTCTATTAGATCGCGTTATTATATTGTGTAATCATTGTTTATAATAAATGTAGCGATCACTATTAAGGGCATATAATCAAGTGACAAAATCCAACCAACGAACTGGAAGGGTTTATGTCTGAGATTTCCCCACGTAATGATTCGTTGGACTTTACATT